GACAACAAGCCACAGCCAGCACAACCACAGCGGGGGAAAAGCCTGTGAAGCGGCAGAAAACCAACACAGACAACTCAGATCCAGCCGCACAAGCCCTCCAAAGACTACTTGCCAAAGCTCAACGAAGGTTGGCCTCTGCCGAGGAATCGCACCAATATATATTATATATATCGTACTACGACATCCAGCATGACGTGGACATGATCATCACCTGGTTGAATGACATGGTAGCACAAGCTCGGGGAACTTCCTCGTCTTCCTCTGCCTCTTCCACGACCCTGCCTCCGGGGGAAGCCATCGGACGAGCAGTCCGAAACCTTGGCCTGGCACTCAAAGGGATACAGACAGAGGACCGTCCAGAGCACTGGATCCAACTTGCCGAAACCGTGATGTTCTTGGAAGCAGTCCGAAAGGGCGAGGCTGTGGCACACCCTGCAGACGTCATGGCTGCCACGCGGGGGATTTTGACCTCCAACCTGGCCCGAGAAAGACGGCAGCGACGCGCGCGGGGGATGATACTGGATCTACAAGATCTTCGAAACCACCTTGCCGGGGGAAGCTCAGAGGAACTCAACGCGGTGCATGCAGCACTCCTCCGTGCCCTTGACGAGGTGGAAGAGTTAATGTTTCCAGCCGCGGGGGAGACGCTGCCACCTGCACCGCTGGACACGGCTCAGTCCCCACCAGCACAGGGGGAATGGTGGCTACATGATCGCCACCATGGACTAGGCAACGCCCCCGGGGAAGTACCACGCAGCCCGACCGTGGCAGTTGCCAGTGAAGACGGGGAAAGCATGACCAGCCATCGTCGACGACGGCAGCGCGCTGCCCTCCTCGACGACTGAGCTCCAGCAACACCGCCTTCTGAGCTGCTCGTGAACGGGGGAAACCAAGCATAGGGGGGATGACCCCTCATCCCCACCTCTTCCCTACTTCACCCTTACCCTACTTAGGCCGCTCATGTTGCCCTACCCCTTTCAGGCCTTAACCTCCAAGGGGGAATCCCAGGTGAGCGCCAACTTTTCGGAACCTATGAAAGTTCCCTTTACACATGGTACTCCTTTAGGTGTTTAGTATCGCTGTGCCCTTGTTTCGCTGATACCACATAGGTTCCGAGTATGCGCGTCACTAGTGAACCAAGCTAGGTCAACAGGACCTCGCAGGTCGAAATGACCTCCGAGAGATCAAATGTAGACATGTGGGGATGCCTCCTTTCGAC